GATACAATCAAAATGCACTTGCCTATTTCTTTAAAACGAATTATCAACCATGAAAATAGGTCCACTATTTAAGAAAAATGATGTTAAAGCTGGCACTTGGAATGTCAATTAGGCAGAAGTTCGTCGAAATTATCAATATTAATAATTAATTTACACTGATTTCCGCAAAGTCGTTATCTAAGGGTTTTATAGGGGACCGCGGTAGCCGAGTGGCTAGCATGAGAGACTCTCACGCCGCGGTCGTGAGTTCGATTCCCACCGTCGCCTCTGGCCCTTTTTTCCCGATAACCCCCAATTTGAGTACACAAGAATTCGTACTATGGCTAATATGCAAGATCATAAGGCCAATAAAAAAAAAATAATAAAGGGTTTTATAACGCTAAAATCACGAATCTGACAATGAGGTCAAATCCAAATCCGCCGGGCGAACAAGCACTTTCCATTTATGATTCGGTGTACTTCGGCAAAACTGGTTAAACTGCTTACGAAATGAAATACATACAGACGCATCAGTCATTAATTAAACGTGTGTTGTCCCTCTTGTTTTACATGGCAAAGAAAAAAAAATATTGGTCCCGATTTTATATCCATTTCCTTATATAAATTTTAATTGTTTTTATTTCTATTAGAAACTTTATTATGAAATCTAAGATAGTTTCATTTAAATACAGCCAGTGTTTTAATAGAATTGCAATACTTTGAACAATCTAATGTTTACACTCATGTCAGCATTTATAAATGTTTAATATTATCCATCAACCGCTTTCTGCAGTCGGCATCGTTTTCTTATTAAATTTGAAAATATATCTCAATTTTTTGGAAACTCAAATTTACTATAAAATGTCATAATTATTTCATTGGGTGTGTGATAATTTTAGTGCAGATTTGTGGTAATCTGTTAAAAATCCAGAATCTAGTCGCCTGTAACATTTCTAATAATAGTTTATTTGAACTAATTGTTGATGAATTGATACTATTGATTCTAGAATAGTTTTGTACTGTTGGTTTAAATAGTATTTCACATATATATTTCACTTAACTAGAATTTATTTTTATTTTATTTATTTTGTACAGGTATCTTATTTCACCTGTATTGTTCTATGTATTCTTGACTTTTTTATAGTACCTGATGTAAGCAAGTTTTAGGTTATATATAACAAGTTCTAACTTGTTTGTGGCAAAGGAAAAGTGTGCGAAAAGTAACTACACGGTCGGGGGCATGGCCTGTGGACGAAACACAAAGCCCTTCGCCCTGGTGTTGGCGTAGTTTTGCATACGAGGCTTTTCGATTGGGCTAATTGTTCGGGCTCAGACTGCTTGTCAAAATGTGTTTGCCCCCACGCGAGGAGGTGTAAAAAACTTCGAAAGCCCCACTGTTGAAAGTATGTTGCTTTTATAATGGAAAATTTAAATTATTCATTTGAAGTCCGCGTTTCCTGACATTGCGATTACATTCGTTACAACGGTACACGATCAAATTTTAAACTTTAATCTCATTTCTCTAGCACCCAGAAAGGAGGAGGGGGCATGATTTGCCATATTTGGAGTTTTCCGCACTTTCTCGACGGACGGTTGACACGTCGGAATCGATTCAGACCTAGTAACACTTGAAGTTTAATTGCTTCCTTAAAAAGCTGTATATATATCCGCATTTTCCATTCGATGCTCTTTGTAAAATGGCGAACTCATGACCGTTCTCCAATCGCATGAGTGGATCGATCTATGCTAAAAAGTAATATATCCAACATTTCTATTTCAATTTAGGATATGTAGTGAACCGGCGACCGGGATGAAGTTCATATGTGACTTAGGGTTTCCTAGGTTCTGTCGATAATTCGCCCCCACTTGTAATCCCGGAAGTAGTCTTGCCGTTTTTAGAATTGCTGCAATCGAGGGCGTGGTGGAGTCATCAACGGTACAAGTGGAACCAGGGCATCTCTTCCATAAGATGTCGTCTGACCAGACCTGCGCGTACATTTCCCACCGCCTCCGACTTCTTTTCACAAGGATTGCACTCCCACTTCAGTCTCGGTTTTCTTTTTTTATAATATGTAAGTTCTGTACTCTTAGTTGAAGTTTGCGACATAAGTTGACGGGGTCTTTTTGTGTGCCACCTAGCCAGTGGGCGACAGCTAGAAAGCCGTCCGTTTGAAAAATTCAAACCTGTAAAAAACAAAACTTATATTTAAAACTCATTCCGCTGAATCTTCTCCGTCGCCTATTCTTGCAGGTATTGTTCTGTCAGGATCGTTCTAGCTTATCATCATCTAAAAGACCTGATGAAGTTTACCCTCGGCTCAATAATTAACATTTGTTATCGTCTATTAGGTTAATTACATAAAGAAGTTCTACGATCGGTGAGTCGCTTACAGTTAATTTGTCGATGTTTGATCATTAAAGATTTCCGGAAGAGCTAAGTTTTCGACTTAAGAGACACTTGTCGGTGGAGTTTTGAATTAAAAAATATGAGGAAAATTAGTTTTTAAAAAAATTATGTATGCCCCTAACGTCACATTACGGATTTGAATTAATGTCACCCGTTGTACTCGTAACTTCCGAATTGCAGAAATGCCGGTAGTTACTGTTGTCGTCTCCATAGTGACGGGCGGCCTTTTGGGCATAGTTTGTACCTCACATCATACGCTCGTCGGCTTGTAATTGGACATTCTAAACAACATTCAACAATTACCGCAGCCGGTAGATACAGTTTGATGATTTTATGATATTAACAATTAGCAGTTACCTGCCCCCCCTTGGGGGAGCCGGCTACTGTGACACACGTCCAAGGGTGTCCGAAAGTTCAATAGTACATTTTCACGCGTTATCGAGCAAAAACAAAAGAGTACAGTTTTTATCCTTGACTAGCCCAACTCCAATTTTCAGGAAGACGGCTTTGTCGTTGTTTCCATACTTTAAGTAATCTTAACTACAGGAATTTCCAACCTTTTAGGCATGATAAATAAAGTATATGTAAACAAAACTATTACTAGCATCTCTTACATATAAATACGTTCATATCTTCCTCTATTATGATTAACAAATTTTAAAATGATTTCAAATTCACTAGCATTTTAATATTTAAAAATTTGAGATTTTTTGTTAAAATAAATTAAAACAGTATAAAATTTCTAATTACAGAATTAGTATTACATGTGGGGGGGGGGTCAGTGGCTGCAAGGGTTTAGGCGTCGACACACGTGAATCAGTATAAGGTAAAGGCCCCAGGTTCGAATCTAGCGGCCGTGCATTCAAACCCGACATACTTACAAGATGGCGATTTTTCAAAAGCACTGGCATCTGGGAGGGTCCATGTGAACTTCATAGTTGAAATACCTTCGGAGGGAGGGACCATATTGTATTAATCCATCTCCAGATTTCTTTTATTAAATTAAATTCTTTTTTCTTTTTGTACTACTATTGGCTACATAATTTAAAAAATCTAATTGGGCATTTAATATTTTTGTGAATATTTTTTTTATTTTAATTTATCATTTAATTAATCTGTTCTCATTTTTGATTACAGATTTTCACCTGCTTCAATTACAATTAAATATTATTAAAAATTATTATTAGTTTTTTATATTTTACATTTATTTATGAATTTTATTATTATTTTATTTATTTAAAAAAAAATTTGGAAGTATGTCGGGTTCGAATGCATGGCCGCTGGATTTACCTTACTGTGATGAGTTTCGAGTCAACACCCAAACTGTTGCGGCCACCAACACCTCTATTTTATTATTTATTTATTAAATGCCTCTTTTTTTATGTATGTTTTTATCTTTTTTTATGTACTATTATTTAAACAATTTAGACACATAATAGTTATGACAAGTCTAACGAATCAACTCCAAAAATTACCAGAAACCTTAACAGATCACGATCCCCAGCTGGCCAGTCATTTCCCTTTGTAATGATGCTGTTTATCAGCAGCAAGCGTTTTTTCTTTTTTTTTCTAAAGATCTTACAATTGTCAATGATGTGACTCCACACCTTTTCTCTGCTCTGTAGGGACACAGAGTTATTAGTAATTTGGAAATGTTTTAAATACGCCCTATTTTTACCATGACCGATCAATACTATTGTGTTGTATGTGTGCTTATATGAATTTCTTTTCTTATTTTTAACTCCATATATATTCCTTTAATATGAAGTACCGTCTACTGTTTGGGTCGGTTCATATGTCCTCCCATCTTTGAAAAAATTTTTGTTCATACCTCGCTAACAAGCTTTTCTGCTTTCTCATTTACGTTGTATCCTGCATGAGCTTCTATCCATCTAGATTTAATATTCCATTGCCTTCTTTTCTTAAGGTCTTCCAGATTGCTTATCATAGCTAAAGAATATGCTCAGTTATTCTCCAGAACATCACGGTTCAAATGCCATTTGAATGTTTTATCAATTGCCGAAAGTTGCACTTGTTTATTTGAGCACCAAGATACTGCCATCATTTAACATATAAAATTGGCTATCATTGGTGTAGGCTTTGAAGTAAAAACCGTTTGTATTGTATTTTTTGTGAATATGTGCTTACTTCACCTTCTTAAAAATCATTTTATATGACTTATTCACTGTACATTTAGGTATATACCATATTTTAGTTTCAAAACTTTAAATCAGAAAAATGGAATTTTGATTTACATTAATTGTTTTAATGATTATGGCTTACTAGGAATAGATTTTCACTAATTTAATTGAGATGAATGTCACATTAACAAATTTCGTTAAACAAAATCATGGCAACATTCAATTATTTGTATGTTGTAAACTGCTCATACTAGAACCAGGCTTTAATCTAATTCAATGGGGTCCATAGCCGGCTGTGCCAAGTCCCCCCTTTGAAATACATGTCAGCGATCACTAAATAATCAATGACACCCAAATCAAACATTGTTGTGACTGGCAGCATGTAAATTGTGTACTTGCCCCTATTTATGCATTTAAACTATAGTTAAATATCAGATATTGGTAATTAATATGAACTTCCTTTCTGCCCACAGATCATGCAGTATCACAGCCAATAACAATGGTTGCAAGGAGATCGGGCAGCTTCCCTGGCAGTGAAGCAGGAAATATTCTATCGCCTAGATCATCAGAAACTAGCGGGCTTGGAGTTAAAATGGTTGAGTATGTGCTCGGTACCTCCCCGACTAGCAAGGAGCTTGAGCCTAGAATGAGAACACTAGTTATGGTAATGATCAATTATGTTATTCGGTAAAATATTTAGAAAAAAGTAAAACTGTTAATAAGATGCTGCGAATGTGCTACATGCCTATTATTTGGTTTTATTATGTTTATTAAATGATGTAAAAATAGTATACATACATAAATATCAAATTAAATGATCATTTTACACATTCATTGCCAATGACACAGTGGTGACAAGCTCTCAGTGCTTTCAAATCTTCCAAAATTGGTAAATAAGTCAATCAAAATAAGTCCCCTAATGAACTGGTTAAAAATGACTGTGATATGTGCAGTAGGTTTTTTGTTTTATTATAAGACAATACAATGACAGTTTAAATATTGTTTGTCATCAGAATCTACAATAATTTTGTGACAATAATGAAAACAATAAAAATTCAGAATACCCATGTTTTCTTTACTATTACAATAAATTGTAACATACTAGCATAATTTTTAATATGTTTAAAAAAAGGACAAAAGATCCATTATGATTTTTATAAAACATCATATGTTTAAACTAGAAAAAAATGGTAATTTACTATTTGACAGAATAGATGAAACAGCTCAAGCAAATGGAGTTAATAGAATTATTCTCAGTTCTACTTATTTAATTAACTAAATATATTGCTATAACCAAAATGAGGTTTCTCCTGGTTTTTCCATGAAATTGCAGAAATGTATGTAATTTTTATAAATTAAATACTCTCAAAGGGAGGGGACAAGACAACATACTTATTTTATTGTAAATGAAATTAAACGAGATCTGAAATTCATGAATTTTAATAAAAATTATGTAATATCATAGTTTGAAAGAAAATTCACCAAAACACTGTAAAATCATTTAGTGATATACACCACTTAAGACCGCCGTGGAAAGTTGTAGAGCACGGCACAGCCAGGACTGGCTATTTAATCTATTAGATCTCTACGTACTCTATGTCTCTTGTTGACCAAAGCATCTGACTAGGTGAGATCTAGACTTAAAGCCATTTAAGAAAGATTTTTTTAAACTCTAATTTATTGTTTTATCGCAGAAAACGCATTAAAAAACAATTAACTCACTCAACAAGTTAGCATGGAAAGGATTAGGAATGAAATTTAACTAATTTTCATTGTTTTTAATCTAAAGTGTGTAAAACAATTAGTAACACTGTATAAAGGTAAACAAGTTATTAATGTAAATGATAAATGATGGAGTGAGTGTGGTGTTCAATCCTTTCTAAAAAGATAGTTCCTACTCGCAGTAAGTTGTTTTGCAATGATCCAGATTTAGAGCCTTTTAGCTCATCATCACCTGATGGTGGTTGTAGAAGTCCTTCAACCTGATGATGAGCTAAAAGGCTCGAAATCCTGATCGTTGTAGAACAACTTACTGTGAGTAGGAACTGTCTTTTTAAAAAGGATTGAGTTATTAATGTTGTGTTTACGTTATAAGTCAACTATTAATTTTTATACGTAGTTATTATGGAAATTAAATAAACACAATTGCCTGATTATTGTCTTTATATGTACATTTTTCGCTGCCATTTTAGTGGTTTTGTACTTGGAACCTCTGTGGAGGAATTGTCCTTGACAAGAAAGGGTTACCATTTTGCAATTTACCTAAGAAGCAATTCAATTTCAAAGCAAGTTTGATTAGATAAGGTAAATACTTGTATTCACTTCGTCCTTTTCACATATTCTGTCATTATCTAAATTACTATGCTAATTTTAACATATGAAACCTTTGAAGAGTATAATGGATTATTTTATCTTTTAATTATATTGTAAATATAGGTATGTTTATTTACAATAACAATATAGAATACATGGGTTCTCTCTGTGAATTCGGGCAATTGTTATGATAAAATGATAGTGATGGGCAACATTTTGAAATATTCATTTAAGAAGGAAACAATAAAACTGTCATGGCATTGTCTTATAATTATTTAAAAACCCTTATATATTAATAAATAAGTTAGTTGTTAAATAGAACAATGTGTAATGAACAAATAACAAAAAATAAATAAATAAAATAAAATATATATAATTTTTATTTCTTGCTAAGTATAAGCATTAATGCACATATTGTATATATAGATTCAATCACATTTTTTCTACATTAATCCTATTTATTATTTTACAGTCAAATGATGGTGGAGAGAAAAAAGACAAAGACAAAGCTCCTGCATCTCCTTATGACGCAGCTAACAAGAAAGATATGGAAAACGGGGTTACACAGAATGGAGTACAGAACGGCTTGGATGATGATAAAGGGTTTAAGTGAGTAGATGAAAAAAATTCTAGTCCATGTATTTCACTATGTTTTACTACAAGACTCATGAAAAAATGAACAAGAGCGAACGAACTTTAAAGTGACTTTAAATGTCTATTTCTCGATTTTTATTAACATACGATAAGAAAAAAACTCTGGGTACTGCAGGTGAGCTACCTACAAAGTGTATACAATTGTAGGAAATAAAAGATGTTTGTAGAAAATCTGTAATAAAAAGTGGTGCTAGTAAATAGGGGAAAGGCCCTCCACCAAGGTTGTAGCTTATGAACACATATTTTTTTATTTATTACGCTTGATTTTTGTGATTAGGAAGACCCAGATTTAATTCTTGCTCACCATCACAAAAGTTGTATATTTTAATTGGTTTATTTGTTCAATTGTGTTTATTGTTGTCAATTAGAAATAGAAGGGAGTCAATGAACCTCCGCCCCCACACGTCTGGTGATGACAAAAAAGAGAAAAAGGACCTGTCCCCTCAAGGCTGGCGTCCTATTAAAACTCCCTTTTTGTTTAGGCTTCTTCCATTCCTTTATCAGATTTGAGTAACATTTCGATTAAATTTAATTGCACTGAACCAATTTCTCATCATATTTTACACTGTCATGTGGTTTCCATCCATAATAGTTTCAGGCATGGTTTTGTACTTAATAACAACAAATCCCCTGGTTTCCTGGAGCATGGAACATATGATTGTCCTTGAGAAAAACATGAATTCTCCAAATTCAATTCACTTAATAGCATGACTGACCTTGTGATTTGTTTAACATTTCTGCAAAAGCCAGTTTAATTGGAAATTGCAATTGTTTGAATTGGAAAGCACTTTTGGTGGTATCATTGGTGTATGTTGTATTAGCCCCTCCTTTGAATTTTAGTAAGAATATAAATATTTCAATTAATTATAATACTTTTTATCTAAAGTATTGGTTGAGATGAAAAAGTTAGTGTCACGATCAGGATTCAAACCCACAACCTTCGGCTCAATATGCCGCTGGTCTAACCACATGTGCTACCGCAAACTCCATTCGAACACCAACTCCTCCCTCATCTAAATGACCAGCCGTCTAGATATTACCAATATGTTTAGGATTAGGGAAGCGTCATAAAGAACAATGGCAAGCTTTCGACCTCTATTACTCTTCTTTAGGGCTACATTGCGTTGTCATAAATAAATTTGATTATAATAAAATATTTTTAAACCTCTAATACATTTTAAAAACAATAGTTGACAATAATTACAACCTTTAGTAAAGTTATTTTTAAAATTAAAAAGCATGGCTACTTTATTTTTTGAAAAATATCATTAATTAAATTTTTAAATTTCATTAATCACTAATTATATTTTGTTGTATTCGTGAGGAGCGGTCAAGAATGAGGAAGTTTAGAAAAACACCTTTCCCATTTTTTACGGGCATTGCGACTTTAATTCAGGTCATCTTCAGGACCTGGGTGAATTACAAAACATGTTGATTGTTAAAAATGCAGTAAAGATGTAAATATAAACTTTGAACCATCTATTTCATGTGCACATAAATTGAGATGAAAAGTCAGTTTAGTGGGATTCGAACCGTCGAACTTCAGCTCAATTCGCTGCTGCTCTAACCACTTGAACTATTTTGACTTTGATCCACTCGGTATGAAAAATTTGATTGAAAGTTTATATTTACATATGTATTGTATTTTTTCTAATCAACATATGTTTTGTCATTCACCCAGGCCAGATGATGACCTGAATAAAGGTAAAACATCAGTAAAAAAATGAAAAAGGTGCTTTCTAAACTAACTCATTCTTGACCGCTACTCCATGAATCCAACAAATTATTAAAAACTGGTCACTAAAAAAACACATTATATATTAGTGTATTGTATCATTATATATATTATTGTAATAGAATTTATTTATGAGAATGTAACGGAGCCCTAAATATGACTGTAATAAAGGTTGAAAGCTTTTGGCATAGAAGTATACTACTATACTCACTTCTTAGTGATCACATCCCTGATCCTTAACAAATTGGAATGTTAATTAATATTTTATTTGCATAATTTTTGAATTGTGCTTGTATACATACCAGTAAAACAAAATCGGTTTTTATAGCCTCTTTTTACACTAAATAAACGTTCACTTAAAGTACTTTTGTCAAGTCTGATGGTTTGGCGGTCAGGCCATATGGCGGTAGTTCGTTCTACTACGTTCACCACTGCTGCCTATAGTAAAGAACAACGGTGAAGTTGGTATCTTCCTTTCTTTATATGATCGATACCAATTCCGTAGTTTTTGCATCTATATAATGTATCAATAGTTTTGCAACTATAAACGATTCAGTAATTTTTGCGACTATGAGTGTTAGTGTAGTTTTTGCCTATATTGACCGTCAGTGCCTGCAAATCGGATTTTGAAAGACGCGGGAAACGTAACGGTAATCGTCAGTTTGGGGAGCTGACTGCTGAGAAAATGGGCGCCACAAATTCCTTAAATCTCTCTTCTTGGTAAATACTCACGCCTATTATTTGTTATATCTATTTTATAATTTCCAAACCCGCCCATCCGTAATAAAAACAGTTTGAAAGCTTCGCCGAAATCAGTACAGTAATTTTTGTTTTTACGATTAACATGCATTCATTTTTTATATATTAGATGTGATGACGTAAGCTTGTTGAACAGTTAAAAACCGAGTTTTGCGCCGTTTATGTGCGATGTTATTTCGTGACGTATTGCTCCCTTAAAATCTTATTTGCTGCCCTCTCAGCCCCACTCGGTTTTTTAAGTACCGCTTTTGTCTCCGATCGGATCGGACATGTCCTCCAACGTATTTTCTTCTCTATCTCGTTATTTACATCCTTTTACTTACGCGAATGGCTTGCGTAAAATAATTGCGAGAAAAGTACGTGAGAGCTGCGTCAAGATCGCCCTTCAACTTATACCTCATAACGCCGGGTTCGGACGGAGCCCTCAAGGTAGGCCCGGTCTGGTTAAATTTACATCTTTCCTTTGGCCAAAAGAGTAGGGTGCATTTTAGCCCAGCCACAGCTCCTCGTGCCCGTCGTATGATCGAGTCGGGAGACGGTGTAGCCACCCAACTTGGTGAGTATTCCATTTTAAACTATTTCCATTTTCCTTTTTGATATTTCAATTTTCCTTTTTGATATTTCAATTAGTTTTCGCGACCTACCAGATTTTTTAATCCTCCGGCCCTCGAATGTTTTATTTGAAAAAAAAAAAAAAAAAAAATCATTTAAGGTTAGATTAGTGCAGCCATTTTGCCCTTTCCCCTTTTATACAAAACAATGTCAAAATACATTTCTCAAATCACAAGACCAGGGTGCAGCCAAAGAGGCTCCTGGTCAAAAGGAAGGATATCTTTGCAAAACTAAATTGAATGTATGTAAATCTTAAGAATTTCCAAGTTGAGCAGTTTAGTTTACTGGAGGCATACACTGAGATGCTGAAAGAGAAATTTTGCTCATAAGCGGAACAAAATTAAAGTGTAAATTGTACTTGAAGGATAAGTGGACCGACTGAGTGAATTCGAATTTATGGATTTGGTAGTCAACAATGCAATTAATATTAAATTGTATAAAGGGGTATTTATATGTGAGAGGAACTCACAGCTGGAGTTATCAAGAATTACTCTTAGAGTCCCTTGTTAGTCACCAGACTTAACTCTAAGAGAGCATCTCTCCATGGCAACTCTCTCAAGTTTGCTTCAGACCGATGCACTGGACAGTTCTCAGAGTGATTCTTAGAGAAGATATCTTTAGTTTTGTGCGAGAGTGAAACATTTACACTAACGAGGAAGATGCATCATTGCACTTTTGACGAGAGTCTCTGAGGCCTTCACAATTGCAAGTTTTACTTTCGAGACTATATCTGTCACTCTTGAGCGTAAAAGACTCATGTGTAAACGTGTCTTAACAAATCCTTTGGATTTGTCGCCACCACACCCAATGTTGCTCCCATTGATTTTGCCGCCTCAAGCTCTTGAGATTTTATTACACAAAATTTCGTTACCCACTTGTGACAGCACTTTGAATGGCTGGCCAAAACTCATATTATTATTTATTTGAATGAATGAAAATGGTCTTTCTGTCAGTCGAGAATCTACTTCTTATGAAAATCCAAAACTTCTCTTTATTTCGGAGATTGCAGTGAATTTTCGCATGGGTTTTGTATTTTATTGACAATGGGCCAGACAATTGTGGAGGCCAACGAAAAGCCATTATCACTCGCTCAGGTCCTCTATTACCTGATGAACTTGAAGCTTCCTCTTCTTTAATCTCGGTAAACAAACAATATAATTTTGACTACTCTGAAATGAAACACTTTAAAAATTCTCCACATGTAAAAAATCTTAAGTTGCCTTCCACCTTTTCTCGATTTTTGTGGTTTCCTCAGGGTGGCCGGAAGGCTAGTCCAATCTTTATTGCATACTGCTTCCAGGCATGCTTTATTGCTTCCGAAAGACACCCATTTGTCAAAATTACAGTGTTCATTTTTCATGTGTTATCATTACATTCTGAACTCAATACAGTTCAATCTTTAATACATGGGAGGGTTTTGGTCTTGTTCCTCTGCAGTCTATTGCTTAAGCACATAAGAGTGTGCTTTACATGTTGCAGACTTAGGGCGTCCTATTCCCAATCGTTGTCAAGGCTTCTAGTCATTATAGATGCTTTGCATCCTCAGCCAGACAATGTTCCTTATGTCGTGACTGTTTGGACACCCCCTGGCATTTATTCTCATTCCATCATCTGACTTACGTCACTGCCCCATGCTTGAAGCAATTGAAAAGGTCTATTATTTCACTTAAATTTTAATTTTTTGTTTGTTTCGTTTTCCGTGTATATGTTATTCCTGTTTTATTTTTATCTTTTCGTTTGGCTGGTTTTTGTTTTTAAATGATAGTAGAAATTATGTTTAATTTGGTGGGCGGTATGTTTGCGCCGTTTATGCAATGTTTTTAGTGACGTTTTACTTCCTTAAAATCTTATATATCTATCCCTCAGCTCCACTTCGTTTGTCGTTCCTTTTGTTCTATACCATTTTGCCTCCTTATGTAAAGCATTGTTGATTTTTCCTTTTGCTTCCGAATGCTTCCAACATATATGCACATTTTTCCTTCAATCAAACCATATGTGGTTTTTGTGCCTCCAGCATATTTGCTTTCAATCTCTGTCTCTGTATTTGCATCCTTTTACGAACGCAAATACATAGCTCGCCTAACAATACTTGGGAAAAAGGTAACATGAGTGTTGCGTCAAATTCAAGTCATATCATGCTGGGTTCGGATGGAGCTCACAAGGTAGGCCAGTCTGGTTAAATTTACATCTTTCTTTGGCCAAAGCGTAGGGTGCATTTTAGTCAGCCACAGCTCCTCGTGCCGGTTGCTTGGGACGATCAAGGCAGGAGACGGCGCAGCCTCTCAACTTGGTGGGTACCCTATTTTAAACAATTAACATTTTTCTTTTTGATATTTCAATTAATTTTTGTGACCGACCAGCAGCACGCCTTTAAAAATTCAGCTTATATTTTTATAAAACAATTTAATTGTCATGAGACCACACCAGCCTCTCGTCAGCAAATGAATTTCAAGGCCTTACGACTTAATTCAATTCAAATTGCTTTTATAAAAATATGATATTATTGTTCAAGAAACATACATCCTACCACATACTTAATAAAAATACATAACTAGGGGAAAAGTTACATACTACATAATTAAATTTAATTTACATCAATTATGTATTGCTGCAATTGTTTAGATTATTTATTGGCCGGCTGTTCATAATAAGTTCTAATGTTAATATATATTTTGTTTTTAAATTGCAGCCGAACTCCTGGTAGCAGGCAGCCCTCACCGTCAGATGAAGACTTGAACAAGAACAACCCGGTAGTCGTTCTCGAAGGTGGTCACTTGATGGGGCACTTCCCAGCAGGCCACCCACTTCTCGAGTCTCATTTCGAACCGCAGGTGATGCTTGATGGGGGTGGTGTCTTTGAACAGGGTGCCCCTCAATACCATCAACAGCAGCAGCAGGCAATGGAGTCGCCCAACGTTCTGCCTCCATCGTTTGATGTTCAGGTATGTGAAAATTTATATTCCTGTCTTCTAGGTCTTAATAACATATGATGGTTTCATGCCCTTTGCATAGTAATAAGGAGAAAAACTGAGGGGAATTTTTTATGGTTAATTTTTATGGTTGTTTTTATGGATTTATTATGAAATTTTTATGGTTGAAAGTTATATAGAAAATTTTTGATTCCTATATTATCTTATTATATTCCTAACTTCTAGGTATCAGTAACATATGATGGTTTCTGCTTCTCTTTCCTTCCCCTCTCCATCCTTATGTTTACACCTCCCATTGGCAAGCAGGTATTTTCAAACTTATCGTGATAAACAATTTTTCTTAAACATTTATATAAAATTACCGTATATTCAATGAAAAAAAGACTAGGTTGCCATTTTTAAATGGATGTTCATTATAAAAACTTGTAGCTATTGGATGATGTCAGTTAACTATTACATTTAATTTTAAAATTCTAGAATGTAATGGATATTCATTATCATTCAGCTGCTGTAGGGTGCCAGAGTGGTTAGGTCCATTTGCCATGCTGATGATTATAGGTTCAAGTCCTGGTATAGTGCACGCAATGTTAATTGGTAATAATATGTAAAGGCATTGTAGAGCGGTTGACCCCCTCATTTGATTGTTTCTCTCAGTTAGTTTGTCTTCTGTAAAAATTGTGTTCCACTGTTCTTTTAGTTACAATTTAATGTTTGATTGTGGTACAGGGGTTAGATAGAAGATGTGTTAGGCTGATATTGTTCTTTTGTTTTGTTTTGAATTTGTTTAATATGGTTGTAATTTTTACATGATTCATTAGAAAAAAAAGTGATGTGAACACTGTTGTGGACTTCATAATAATAATAATAAAATTGTAAAGCTGTGAAAAATTGGTTTACAAATAAACAAACTTAACTCACCTTTCGTCGCTCCCACGCAAATGCAGACCGCTCTAACCTGTGGGTTCTAGGACTGGCACTGATTGATTGTTGGCATAACAGAGGGTTTAGGTGGGTACAGCAGGAAAGATCAGAAAAGATAGTATGTAGAAAACAGAAGGAAAAAAACTAGGAGAACAAAGTAAGGTGCAGAATGAAAGCAGTCGAACAAGCGGGTGGTCATGCAGTTTTTACACTACCCGCAGATATGCGGGTTTTCGATAAATCAAAAACAGAAAGGGCCCTTGAAATTAACAGTGTGATCAAACAAACCCCTTTTATCACAGTTAGAGGATGGATTTATTCTAACCTGCAATGCACACATTTTGTTCTTTTTTTGCCTAAAGAGAACACATGTAAATGTGTTTGACAGAGATTTTATGTCACTAAGAAATTAATATATATATGTTAATAATCTGTTAAATATTTCTCTAGGCACGAACAAAGAATTAAATCGCTGTTTATGATAATAAAGTTTAAATCCAAATGAACCTTCACGAGTAGCCTTATACTATCATCACGTCTAACGTATTAACATAATGTTTTAAAATTTTTAAGAATCTAAGCATTGGCACTATTCTTTTATTAAAAGATATCTTCCATCCTCCCATTGTTTGTTTTTCACATTTCATTATTGCCCTGATAGGTATAGTTCAATCTCTTTATTTCACTTTCATTATGTATTGAATAATTTTTATAATAATATTCTTATTTCCTTGAATTTTTTTAACTGTTTGGGTTGGGGTATTGTTGCAACGATTACTATGGAATAATAGTTGTTCTTCGGTGTAAAGTTACTTTCACCTCAGACCATACGTGTTGTGAAATCTAATTATATATTACCCTATGTAATTTGTGATATTAAACAGTCTGATAAGAGCATAATGAATTTGTATGGCATTGCATATAATAATATATTAATGGTAATAATGAACATTTCTGCATCGTTATTAAATCATTCCACAAGTAAAAAGTTTGAAAGTTTGCTATTAATAGCCTTACTTAGATTTTGTAATTTTTTTGCTTACAGAGTTGATTTTTTTTCTATGTAACCCAAGAATCTTTTCTCATATCAAATGATGAACTGGAAATTCTTCCATGTGCCTAACCAAGTAAACCAAATGTTATTCACATTTTAAAACATCCTTAGAATTCTTTTGTTATCCTCGTTGGTTTATTATTTATTTTTTATAGATGCGAATCGCGTTGAAAAAAATTGTCCACTTTTTTATTTCAATATGAATATTATGAGATTTTTAGTTAAGTTCAGGTTTGTTAGATACATAGATTTGTTCTTTATTAAAAACAATTTCTGCATTTCACTCTGTTCACCATTGGAAAAACATTGATATAATTAATCATCACTGATCAAGCTGGAGGTTTACCACATTGCAAGGCTTACAATAATGTTTTACGCCAAATATTTTGATAAATTTCTTCTCCTAAAGCCCACCTCTGAATATCATAATATCTTAACTGCCCAAGATGATCAGAAACGAGAGTGATTCTATTAGTTATTGCAGACTATTTTCTAGTATAATACTAGTGTTAGGTAACTAATTATTATTGACATATTGATATAAATAAAGTACAATATAATAGATATTTACAAGAAAACATGCAAATGCAATGGTGTTTATGTTGGTTTGATTTTTTTTTAAATTCTTAAGTTGTGTTTTGCTTGGTTTCCTCTGCGATTCATAGAGGACACGAGCTGCTGGTTTTTGTCGAATGCCCGTCTAGTTGCGAATGTTTTCATTTAATAGCCGCTCTTGTCTCCTGAAGAATCCACCTGCTTCGTACAACTAGAACTCACGGGAGGACGTGGGCTGTAAATGTTTACCCACTGAGAAAACACATTGGCTACAATAAATATTTATATTAAACTTTCCTGATATCTAATGTACCATTAGCGTCGGAATCGTTTGGCATGTCTGAAACATATCTAAATTCAGGACTGTGATTCACTACCTTTCCTTGTGAAGTTATCCAATCCTTTTTTTCTGAACTATTAAATGGATGGGGTTTTGAAATAACCGTCATTTTGTAAACTATTGAACAAGGATTCTATTTTTATAGTTTTACTGCGACTGCTTCCTGTCATCGATCCAGATTTGGCGAATGATTTGTCACGACCGTTGCATCATTCTATTGCTACAAAAACCTATTATGATGTCTTTTTAAGTTATTAGCTCGCTTAGCTGCCGAGTCTGGAGTAAATTCTAATTTTGGTTTTCCCTACAATAACTAAAACAACGCTTGCTCAGCGCAATTCTTTTGATTTTTGTTAACTTGCGTTTATTTTGTATTGTTTAATTGTTTTTGTTCTACCTATTGTTTTAAGGGTGAATTCTTGCTTCATAGTGCAGGGATTTCCTAGGTAGTTTAATCCCTTGTGATCGGCCAATCTTTGTTATTTGGCTCTTAAGTCAATAGGTACTACAGCCAATTTGATTATGGTTAGATTTTCAACGTTAGGGAGATAAGCAGGGTGAGACAAAACGGTGACTAAATTTTTCGTGAAATAACCAACTGCCACGTGCGATACAATGCAGCAGGATTATTTTGGTATATACTGCCTTTAAAACTCAGTTCGCTTTGTCGGCCTGTTGAGTATAATGATCAGAATCGAAGGTCTTGTCATCTGGAACCGCTAAGTGCTAAATTCCTTTCTTATTTCCACTAAACGCAAAGTATAGGTTTTAAATATCTATACAATATTTTTTATCATTTTTAGATATTGTAGGAAATTTGTAGAGATGGGAGTGTTATTTGGCTGGTAGCCTCTTGACAACTCACGATTATTTTAATCTTGGTTGGATATTTTGGAGGCCAAGTTTTCTATATCGTCGACTTACCATAATATTTGAATCCATTATTTAAGCAGATAATATGTAATTGCCGAATAAATCTTGGCTTACACTTTATTTAGCAACGGTGACCCATTAGAAATTCTTGATGTAGGACGGTGTTCCCGTGATGAATGTGTGAACTTCCCAAATCACCGCTGCTTTCGTACTCGGCCCTCTTCGATTTACTCGAAAGAACATGAATCCTTCGGGCAATTTCGTTTCAATTTATAGTATTTTTACACATTCGGACGTTAGGACGCCTTTTAAATTTGAGCATAACAGTTGACATTCCTGTCTGTCCTGGGATTGCCTTTTTATTACTTCTCTATCATCCTTTCAGTATGTTTTGAATATTTTTCCATTAAATCCCTTTTTCAGACACATACTTAACTATTATCCAAAACCAATTAAAGTTCCTTTAGGCGTTATAACAAAAATTGAAAATATGCTCTTGCAAAATATTGGGCTAACTATTAAAAAAAATCACCGCCTTTTATGATATTTTGGTGCTATAGAGTTTCAAGATAAAATTTAATACTGCAGAACAAACGAGCTTTTCAAGTAGACCCACGGTGGTTTTGTGGTTGGAATAACCATTTTAAGAGGCTACCGTAGTCTGGCGTTGTTTATGATGTAAAGTTACCTGTGTCACTCAACGTCTGTCAACCTTTCCTGTTATCGTTCCTGACTACTATTAGACTTATATTGCTCCGGTTATATCCGTTTATGGATATATTCGCAGCCCTGGTCGGCCCATTTTCCATAAAATTTAGCAAATTTTTGCCTAGAAAAGATGTAATACGAATGTTATAGTTTCAAAAAATACTGTACGGTTTGATTTATTTATTTTTCAGTTTTACCTTGATATTGGACGCTGACTTTTGTTTGTCGATCATGACTTTTAATAGGGTTTTTAGCGAAGCGTATGCCGAAAGGCAATTATTTCCCTAATCCATCTTCCTGCCTGGCAATTTAGCAGTCGGATTCATACGTGCCACTCAAAACATTCAATATCCAGGTGGAAACAATGCATCATTCGCTACGGCAAGAGAGCTAATGCGATTATTTCTCTCGCAACACGACCCACGGGTCTGGATTCCACCGAGTTTCGACCTTCGCCATTGGTTCCGACTCGTACTTACTCTTACAACCCGTGATTTCCGTTTACCCTCGTGGAACCGTGTGCCCATTCCATTCAATAGAATTAATTATTCCTAAATGTCC